TCCTGCGTTGCCTGCGAACACGCATCTCTCTACTGACTGACTGACTGACTGACTGACTGACTGACTGACTGACTGACTGACTGACTGACTGACTGACTGACTGACTGACTGACTGACTGACTGACTGACTGACTGACTGACTGACTGACTGACTGACTGACTGACTGACTGACTGACTGACTGACTGACTGACTGACTGACTGACTGACTGACTGACTGACTGACTGACTGACTGACTGACTGACTGACTGACTGACTGACTGACTGACTGACTGACTGACTGACTGACTGACTGACTGACTGACTGACTGACTGACTGACTGACTGACTGACTGACTGACTGACTGACTGACTGACTGACTGACTGACTGACTGACTGACTGACTGACTGACTGACTGACAAGCTTCTGCCTGGTCTGTTTGTACAGCATCCCTATAAGCGTACATACACAAGCGTACACATACGTACATGTTTGTTAACACGTGCACACATACATACTATGAATGAATTTACATGTTTTTGTATATCTGCATTGATGCATTAAATTTGTTATCAATTCATCGTTCATGTTTATTAGTTATTGATTGTTCTTTCTTTTGTTTATTTTGTTTTGTTTCAACGTGTATCTATTACATTTATTGAGGGTAATATAATTTGAGTTGTAGCAAATGTTTTTTATGTCCATGTTCTGGTATTTTCTCACTTATTTGTTAAATTTTGTTCTACTGCCTTGCATGTTATTACAGTTTCTGCGTCTGTCAGATCCTGATTTTTAAAGAATAATAAAAAAAATTAATTGTTATAGCGAAGCTGATTTCCAGCACACAGTTACAAGCATGTGAGGAAGGTGCGCCAGCTTGTTTACGATGACCGGAGGTTGAAAACCTTACTTGTTATTTTACTGCAATGCTTCGTGTTTGAGTCTATCGATCGCTCTACACATTCAGCCATCATTTTTTTCTATTTCTCATAGTTTTCATCTTCTTTTTCCACCTTCTTTTCTTCCTTCTCCTCATATTTTTTTCTTCCTCATCTTCTTCTTCCTCTTTCTCCATCCCCTCTCTTTCTTCCTGTTCTTCTTTTTTACATTTATTTCACCCTCCTCTTTCTTTTCATCAACTTCTTTCTGTTTTTCCTCCTCTTCCCCTCGCCACCGACCGTCTTTTTTTTTTAATATCTCTCCTCTTTCTACATTTAAAAATTAATTTTTCTTAAAAAACACAAACTGACAAAAAAATTAAGGAAACTCAAAACGCGAGGATAAATTAGTTTAGTATATTCATGAGAACAGTTGATGTAACGATGTGCTTGTTTTACTGTTGTTTGATGTGACTTGAAATGAATTCTGTCGAGTAATCCCAATGAATTATGTTGGACACCCCTCGCAATATAATGGAACTTCCGGCCTGCTGTTGTTTTTCATTCTTCATTCATGGCTCCTGGCTATGCTTTTTCTATTGTAAAAATATTTCTAATAAATGTTGATGTTATTTATGTTATTGAATGTTGTTGAATGTTGGTGTTGTTGTGTTTTATTTGGTAGTTAGTTATTGGGAATTCATTTTTTGATGTTTTATTTATTTGTTGGATGCTCTCAATTGTGTCCAATTCATTTTTTTTATTTTTGTCTGCGTTTTTCATGGATTTTTAACGCATGGATGGAGATTAAGTTTACAAAAAGTACGAAGTTTATTCGTTGAAGGAGGATTTTATCGATACATCTGCAAAACTGAGAGCTTCATATAATTTAGACGCTTCATTTGTTTGTTAACCAGTAAAAATTGTTCGCATTAAGGACACAAATTTTGAACGTTTGGACGGATGCTGTTTAACTCACAAAACAAAGATATACAACGCGTACAAACAAAGGTGTATACAAACAGACGCGCAAACAAAAACTGATAAACCAAAGCAGCAGCAGCAGCAACAACAAAATCACATGAGCCTAAAAATCAAATATTTAATTAAATGTTTAGACAAACAAACAAATAAATAAACAAACAAACAAAAACGTGAACATTTATTTTCTGTTAGTGGTGTCAACTCTCTTGCAGCGAGGTTGCGTAGTGTAGTTCTGCATACATGCACATTGCACATTGTACATATTGCTTGGGCTCCTCCTAAATTCATCCATTGCTATCTCTCAATTTCTCTTTTCTCTCTCTTTTTCTTATCTTTGTTTTCGAAAAATGCAAATAATTATTAAATTTAAAATAGAAAGAGAGAGAGAGAGAGAGAGAGAGATAAAGTGAGTATTGAAATAAGGTATTGTAATTGGCTAGCATCAGTCTACGTATTTATTGTTGGAACGATGCAGGCTGAACTTGCTGGTCTTCCGTACTGGTGTTATAAATACCTACTACACCACACTGCATAAATAATTAATTTTCCACCACTTCCATTTTTTCCATTTTATTGACGCAACCACACATGAAGGACAACAACATTTCTATTACATTCGGGTACTCAAATTTGAAATTGTCTCAATCCTTGAAGTATTAAATTTTATTTCATATTGAAAAAACGTGAATAACGTTTATCGCTCTATTAATTATAAAAAAACTTTATACAGATTGTTTTACTTTTTTTTCAATCTATTTGTTTATTCATCCATCCATCCATCCATCCATCCATACATACATCTATCCATCCATCTATCCATCCATCTATCCATCCATCTATCCATCCATCCATCCATCCATCCATCCATCCATTTGAACAACAATTCATCCGCAAATTAATCCATCTATCCATTCATTCATTCGTTCATTCAGCCTATTCCACATTTTACAATTTACTTTTCAAATTCCAGAGACCACTCTCCACGTTTTTATTTTCCACATTCCTACATTCCCACACTCTCATTCTTCACTTTACAGTTCACACTCTCACTTAACTTGACACACCCCACCAAAGAATTAAATTCCGGTGGGACCATGCACATCTGTCAACTTTTGTCGCAAGCTTTCAATTGGTCGGTGCCATTGAATTCCATTCCATTCAACGCTGTCGACACGGACAACCACATAAAAATCAAAAAACATCAACAAAATCAAAAACAACGAAATAGACAACAACATTAACATTAATCACATCAACAACATAGAAATTGACAACAACATTAACATTGATCACATCAACAACATCGAAACAGACAACAACATTAACATTGATTACATCAACAACACCACTATCACTGTGCATTTAATATTTTAATTTATGTAAGAGAAGTATGTTTCTCATGGCGTGACGATAAAATATCACTGGCTCCTTACTGCTTTTCCTTCCAAAAAATATTTTATTAATCAAATTCACAATTCTGCTAATAATTTCAAATTATTAATGGGTAACTTGATATGACGACCATCAAGAATTCTACGGCTTGGCAAAATTTGGTTGTGTTGAGTTTGCTGTGACTCTACGAACATTGTTCGTTTGTTTGTTTGTTTACCACATGTGTGAACAAGTAAATGGTTTTTGTTTGTTTGTTTGTATCTTTATTTATGCGAACCTGTGTCTACTAGCAAACGATCAACACTTGAAATCTCTCAGCGTTTGCTTACGCGGCATTCATTTGCATTGCCAAGTGGGCATGTGGTGGTTATCCGCCATTGTTGTAAGCTTGCTCTGCTGCTTTCTACGGTGGCTTTGTCATTATCAACAACATGCTGCAAAGTTCAATGAGATGACGATGATGATGAAAACGACGATGATGATGAAGAAGAAGACGACGATGATGATGATAGTAATGAATGATGAAAGTAATGATAATGAAATTGATGTTTGAAGGATGTGTAAAGCAACATTAAATATTCATTTTTTAATTGTCTGTACCAGATTTATTGATGGATTTTTCAACAGTTGTGCAAAAGCAAAATCGTCCATTCATTCATTCATCCATCTGTTCATTCACTAAATTATCCAGTCATTCACTCATTCATCCATCTGTTCATTTACTAATTTATCCATTCATTCACTCATTCATTAGTAAATTAATTAATTAATTCATTCATTCATTAATTAATTAATTCATAAGTTAATTATTCATTTACCATTTCTTCGTCCTTTTGTATGTTTCGTGTTCTTTCATTTATTATTCAAAATAAAGCAAAAAAATTTCATTAATTTATATATTTTTTTATAATTTTATTTATTCGATACTTTATTTTATTCAACATTTTCACTTTTACATATTTTCAAGTTTTGTCTGCTTATATAAAAACTTCATTTAAGATTGTGTTTGTGTGTTAGTTTGTTTGCATGTTTGCTTGCATGCACTTGTGCGTGTGTGTGTTTTTGGGTGTTTGTTTCTGGTCCCATTGACGTGTAAAAATAAATTTTCGGTTAGAAATCAACATTTCAAAAAATTCAACGATCGGAAAGCCATGCCGTCACATTAAACAAACCCCACAAAACAGCAGAAATGTCCCCACACCAACCGTGCTGCAACCATGAATATAATATATTCTTTAAATATTATCCATGGTTACAATTCTCTGACATTTAAGTTTTGTTATTAACATCACATCTAAAATACACTCGATCGATTACATGTTTTAACGACAGATGATGTTTAACTTAGCCATTCACATTTTAATCATACGCGCTGTTGAACATATTTTTTTTTATTATTGAACCATTTTGCAAAAAAAACACGATTAAATTTAAAAGTTATTTCATTGACATGAAACATGTTTTCAGGTAGAGCTTCGATCATGATTGCTGACGTTTTCTTACTTTATTGTTTGAAACAACTGCCGAACTTGCTTCAATGTTGATTTGAAATCATTAAAATTTGTAACTAGTTCATATTCCTACTCCATTTATAAAAGATCGTTAAGCAAACATTTGTCTATTTAGCATCCGAACAAAAATGCTTAAGGACCTTCAGAAATCATGCAATATATAAAATATTACAGTAATTAAGATAACTAAACTTCTTTAGCACTTTAAACGATCTCAATTTCAACAGATCGAAGAGAAAAGGGAGAAATCGAAAATGGCTTCACCGACAGCAGGAACGAAACGTCCGGCCACATCTCAACAGCACCCAGCACCTGCCTCCAGCAGCAACACACCATGCCCGCATGACGCCATCTTGAATGGAGTTAACAGCAAGGAGCTGCACTTTTGTGATCAGCTGATGGAGAGGATGGCTGGTGTTGTACCTATCCCTGGAGAGGAAGATTTCTTCGTCAGACCTGACACGTCAGTTTCTTCTCTCTTCCTCCCTCTCCCTCTGTCTTTCTCTCACGTTGATTCTTCAATACTGTGACGTTCTGTTAATAACAAACATTTATTTGTTATTTTATAATTTTTTTTTATAATTTTATTTCTGATAAAATACAAGATGGTTTGTTTTGAACGATAATTTTTTGTGTTGGTTAAATGCACCTGATTGAATAAATCTTTAAGCTACATTAAAATAATTCCTGTTTTGAAAACTGCATGATTCGTTGATTAGATTGCGGAGATTTTTGAGAGCGAGAAACTGGAACGTGGATGATGCAGAGAAGATTTTGAAGGGTGCGGTGGAGTGGAGGAGGACGAACGACGCCATCCACATGGACTGCAGGTGGTGTCATGACCACCCAGGCTACCACAGCATCGTAAGTGGCAAGGATTCATTTAATGCACGACGTGCATCTGTTGAATTGCGCGTTAAATATTTCTATAAATAATAAAACGACGAAGTCTGTTCAGAGCATCGATCGATTTATTTGTATTATAAATTATTTTTTGAAATTAATTAATTAGCGCCTGTGTATGAAAATAATATTTGATAAAAAGAAACATTAATTTAAAAAGAAATTTGATTACAATTTATTAAAACAAATATATTTAAATGAATTTGTTTGATGACACAGCGTCAAGTGGGTTTTGACCTTCAGAGGAGGCCAGTCATATACGCCTGCTTCACGCAAACAACTGCCAATCCAACTGTTGAAGACATAATAAATCACTGCACATACCTTATTGAGAATGCTCAAAAAACTATGGCGTCCGATGTCTCCACTTGGGTTTTTATTTTAGATTGCAGAGGTTGGTACATTAATTTGCTGATCATTTAAATGTTTGAGTGTGGTACAATTCAGTTAAGTTTTTTCTTACAAATAATCACATAAATCTACCAAAAAATATTCATATTTTCAAAATTATTTGAAAAAATTACTTTGATTTTAACGCAGGTATGACATTACCTCAGTGTAATCCGAAAATAGGATACGGACTGACCCAGGTCTTTGCCAACTTCTACCCGGAGAGGTTGGGACTGGTCATTTGCTTGCATCACAATCCAATCTTTCACGGCGTGTGGAATGCCATCAAAGTCTTCCTACATGATAACACGGTGGCCAAGATGCACCTGGTTAATTTTTTAATTTTCGTGACGTTAAATAGATACATTTCTAAACAATTTGATTAATTAATAATTGTTTTTTTGTAAAAATCCATTGAAGAAAGTTTGAAATGACAAATGTTTGATATTTTTTTTTGAAGATTCGATCAAAAAAGAAAATAGAAGAAGAATTTACGAAACTTTTTGACGATGAACTCAAAGAATGGCTATTAATAGAAATGAAACTGAACAAAGAGAAACCCTTGTCTCTTAGTCAGCAAACATTCTGGAAGGCTCCAATAGATACGAAACACCATGATCCAAGAGGTTGTCCAAGTTACGTCAAAGAATTTGTTGACACCTTCTTAACAAACACCAACTCACCACTTTCTGTTCACAAACCTCATCCGAATATTGTGGACGAATTGAAAGAAGTCTGTAAGCCCCTGCAACTTCACGACAAAAATTCAAAATTGAAATCAAACTCCAGTTATGGAATGAGCGAGGATGAATGTGCAAAATGTGCGACAGTCGGTACTGCGGATCCACTGGTAGATGATGACAGCGAATCTGAAGAGGCCAACATGTCACAAAAGTTTGAACATATCGAAATAAGTAAAGAATATCAAGTTCCTTCCAACGCTGAACGCTTGGCGGACGGCTGATAGTATTTCCATTCACTGTGACATCTAACGATTAACTAATAAGTATAATGATTAATTTGCTAGCGCAAATTTATGCGGCAACAAAATCAATTTTATTAAAAATTATAGAAATAATTATGTAGGGTAGATTGATCGTAAAGTTTACAAAATTGTAATGTCGTGGTAATAAAATAACCGAAGAGGCCGATTGAAATACGATTACGTCTCTTGGTTTAAATCTTTCTTTTTTTTGTTTTATGGCCACTTGTTGTTATAACAATGTGAAAAATCTGATTATTCGTAACAATTGTGAAATATATTTTTGTTAAATATATTTTATTTCTACTTTTATGGTTGTAACAAGCCACTGGAAAAAGTATTTTTTAAATGTTTGCGATTGGAATAGTTGTTAATGATACAAAACATTTCACAAAAATTTTCCATGCTTCAAAGCATAAAGCACTGTGATTTCTTACTTATTATTTGTTTAATGATTAATGGCTCATTGAATTATCTTGCGGATTACATGTGGCAAATGAGGTACTGCTAAATAATAAATGTCTGGCATTTCGATTGAATTGTCCAACTTTATTTTATCTACAATCACAAATCTGTATTTTGTTGTTAATTAAGAGTTCAATTTTGAATATTTTAAAATTGTTATATTATTTAAGCAGCTTTACTTTAAAAATAATTAAACTAAATCTTTTAAAACAAATTTTGACTCATGAAACGCTTATGTACGATCTGTACAATTGTCATAATAATTAATTAATTTGATAGACATTTACACGTTATCTTATCATAAATGAATATAAACACGGTGTAAAAATCTGAGAAGTTTTTCTTATCTAACAACACTCGACTAACATATACATGGACGAGTGACTTGTAAACTTGTTTGGATTTAATATCACCATTTTTAATGAGTAATTTGAACCTGTTTGATAGAAATCAAATTCAAATACTTTTTAAATTTTTGCCAACTACCCACCAATTTGTGTTATATATAATGTAAAATATAAATTTATCAAAATAGATGATTTATGGTAGGTTATATCAAATGTTTACACTACAACTTTCATCTGATTGCATCTCGCCATGTTTTTATTTTTTTTCTCATTCAGACCACGATAACCTGAGTTTTGGTGGTCGGAAAGAGAGGACTCTTTTTTGGCTTTTCATAGTATTTTTAATCATAGTTATAATAATATCAATACATCATCATATGCATAACTTTTTTAGGGTCTAAAGCCATAAACAAATTTGACAGAAATTTTTGACAAAAATAAAAATTCCAAAGCCCTTAGTTTTTCAACTACGCTTCTCTATCCAATTAAAACATTAAACTGTTTATTGCATGATATTTGAACATGATTACTACACAAATGAAGGTTGTTGTCTCCATTTAATATTCATTTATGATTCATTTTTATTTCATATTTTAAAAGTTGCTCCTCCCATAAAGTTTTGTAGTGTATTATAGTCTAATTAGGTAGAAATTTTAATCTAGTTAAGGCCTTAAGGAAATTGTTTGCCATGTTGAAAAAACAAAACTGTGTAAAAAATAATTGCAATTTTATTTATTTTATGGAAGATTGAAATTATATAATAAAAGATAACTGGTGTAGTTTAGTTGCTGCTGATGTTTACGCCATGCGACATAAATGTGTGAGTGATGTCAACCTTTCAAAAGCAATCTGTTGCGTCGAAGCATATTCAAATCATCGAACAGTACAAAGTTTGCTGGGTTTTAGAAAAGTATTATCCTCAAATGCAGATGCCATTAACACGGTTTAAAACCGCTTTGAGGTTATCCACGCGGGGCTTCAACAAAATGTACCATCAACGATCAGAAAACGTAAAAAAAGATGCCGCTCTCGTTAGCGCTTATTAAGAGACGATTCATTATTTTTGTTTACATCCAAATATAAAAATGTTATGACAAAATGAACTTAGCAAAAGAACTTTATCAATCGTCTATCTTTCTCTTCTAATTTTAAGCACGTAAACTCATTCCAGCACCATCCTTATCTCACTGTTCCTTCCAATCAAACATTCAGGGAGACATTAAATGAGATAGAAAAAAAAGGTGAGGGAGAGAACATCCCATTGTAGAATGGCATCCATAAAAACGATTAGACAGATAAAATAAATAGCAATAATAATAGCAACAATAAGCACAGCATTTAACAGCCGTAGTAAAAACTTTAACACCAGTAACAGTTGGAGCAATAATAAGAGAAGTGGTAGCAATGGAAGCGACGACAACGTTAAGCAGTTCAATAAAATACGCATCTGCTAGCACCACCTTAACTTTTTTAAAAATTATAATTATTTCGAATATAAAACGCGGTTTTACGTGACCTTGCAGCGCAAAGTATTAAAAAGAACTCTGGTAGTAAGTATAACGTTGTGTCGCACATTATGCCGAAGTTCATTCAATAATATAAATGATTGGCATTCGAAAATTTAAATTTTTATTCATAATGTCATCGAGATTTAGTCTACTGCATTTAGTTTTCAGTTATTTTTGTGGTTTGAGCAAACCATTATAAATTTATGTTCAAAATTTTTATTTCATCAAAATAGAACGAAATGAATGAATTAATATATTTAAATGAAAAAAACACGAACTTGAATAAAATGGAATCAAAAATAAATGAGAAATATATATATATAAACACACACATACACACACACACACACACACAGAAATATACGTGCGCACATATACAAGCACATATACATATATAAACAAATATATATTAATGTGTAAATGTATACTGTAATATATACATCACAAATTTTTAAATATTCTCGAAATATGTATACTTTACAAGGGCAATGCAACCAAACTCTACACAAAAGGATAGAAATTAAGAAGAAGAGAGAAAAAGAATGAGAGATCGGTAAGCGGTAGAAAAAAGAGAAAACCAGACGTAGCACAATGAACACGATATACAATGTAATAAATATGCTACCAAATCTGTTATAAATCTACAATTTATACGTTAAGTAGGATGTTTAGATGTCGATACCCCAATACATACATACATACATACATATATATATATATATATATATATATATATACACATACACACACGTGTGATTCTGATTTCGTTTTTAACACTGAATATGCTACTTGTTTACTACGAAAAACAACAATGTAACAATGCCGGACTATATAGCACAACTTCAAATTAAAACAAAAAAGATACACTTTATTTATAAAGTTTATACGCATCTTTGATAAATATATAAGCTATTTATAATTATATTGTAGATTAAGAATGAAACGAATCCTAACATTGAAAATTTTTTACTGTAGTGAATGCTGAAATAAGCGAGAAAATCAATAGGTAATGAATGAAGAAGCTTCTCGTTTTAAACTTCAACAACATTACCACCATGATCATCTAACTAATGATCTCAGTGTCACCACTGTTTTAGATTTGTTATGTGATGATTGAAGTATGAAGAGGGTAGCATTGAGAAATAAGAACAAGAGCTACGTGGTGCAAGCAAGATGCCTATGTTATGTACATTCATTCAAGTAAACAGTACTGCATCATCAAGCCAGCTGAACGGGGCACAAATATACGCAATGCAAGCAGAGTCTGTCGTTCGTATAGTATAAGTATCATTTTAATTGTTTAACTAATTAAACAGATGATAGTGGAAATGTTATAAAAACGTTATATATATATATATATATATATATATATATATATATATATATATATTTAGGAACGAGGTTTTCAGAAATGCAATTTCATTGAAATTGTTTGCCCATTTTGCATTAATTAACTTCTTTATAAGACATTCAACGAGGCCGTATTGTTTGAGTTCATATTTATCTAAAACTGGAATAAAGGAATATCTTGCGCACATGTCATTCGTAATTAGTTTTCACCAACGTTTTTTCAACCATGTTAAAACTTTTATAAAATTTCTATATTTTAATTATTTTACTAAACATTTTATTTAAATTACATTTTTTTATTTATATAATCTACATAAACTTTAGTTATTATGATATTTACAACAAGGTTAATTTACTTCACAATTTAATACATATTTTATTTTCTATATCTTCACATGTTAATTAAATTATATGTTTAAACAATATTTAGGCTCTGAAGATGGCATTACGCCGAAACAGCGCTGTTAGCTTTATTCCAGTTTTAGATAAATATGAACTCAAACAATACCGCCTCGTTGAATGTCTTATAAAGAAGTTAATTAATGCAAAATGGGCAAACAATTTCAATGAAATTTGCATATATATATATATATATATATATATATATATATATATATATATTATAGGTTATTCATCAGGTTTTAGAGCAATGCCGTTTGTTATCATGGCATATAACAACATCAAATGTTCCGATCTGTTTTGCATACATTACAGTTCCGTTCCAATTGCATGATAAATTTGCAAACTTATTGACAGTCCAGTTTCTGTTTTAACGACCTCTCTTTTTCATGTGGCAACATTTATCTGCTTATCTTCTTCCATTTTTACATTTCTCTCTCTCTCTCTCTCTTTCTCTAAGATATACATCTTTGTTTTCTAAATATAGTTACAAAAACAATATGAACCAGCCGTCAATAATAACGGTAGTTATAATCGTAAGGATAAGAATAGCAGAAATAACATTGAAAACAAATACAACAAAAACTACAAATACGTATAACGACTACAAACACGGCATGCCACATGCAAAATATGTACTTCTATTAAGAAAGGATGAAACAGCAAAATTGATTTGGCATAACACGACGCATTGATTTTATTTGATTGACAAACAATTCAAGATCCTAGTAGTATGACGCACGAATCATAAAAAAACGTTACCACGAAACAAGCAGAAAAACGACTGAATGAACTACTTGCTCACAATGAAACAACGGCGCAATAAATCGCCTCACCACCGCAATCATCATTACAAAGTCACAATTATCAAGCGCAACTCTTACAGACATCTTAACTGTCTGCAGTCGATTGACGGCCTTGGCCACTGTAATCACCATCCTCACAGTCTTAACAATCAAAACATACCACCATCTATGTGGAAGTATGTAGACAAACGCCTGCAATGCATTCCTGCTCGCCCATCCACAACATCCAGCTAATTACAATTTATATTTAATAGACGCATAAAAATCTAAGATATTTGTATGTGCGTGTGCGTAGGATTTATTTTTAGAGATTTTCTTAACTATTAATATTTGTAATCAATAACACTAGGAAAACCACAAAATTGTTGTAAAACTAGAAACAACGTTAGTGTGCGCAGATGATGTAAGGAATAACTGTGAAATAATAAACCGAAGTAACGACGATGACGGTGTGAATGACCCAGATCATGAAGTAATCTGTTGAAAAGTGGATCGTACACACACGCGCTCACTCACAAACACACGCTGTTGTAGCACACATACGTTAAAACACACAGGCATGCACAGACACAGAAAATAATAGCTGCATACAAGTAGAACATCACACAAAAAAGTCAGACCGGTGGATGGATAGATAGATGAGTGGTGGATGACTGATGAAAAAATGGCTGACTGTTTATGAAACAAGTTTTTTTCAGAAAATTACTAATGATAACAATTAGCGATTATTGTAACGATAAAAGCAAATCAAAGCAAAGCTGTTAAATAAGATAATCAATAGCAACAACAACAAAAACTAGAAAGTCAACAGCGGAAGGCAGCACGAATCATAACCAGACTCTGTTCTAGAAGAAGCCTCATTGAAGCCGTTGAAATAGAGAATGGGAGCAAAAAAGACAGTGAATTGGCACATGTTGGACAGGGACGATTTTAAGAAAAAAATGGCAGAGAAGGACGTTCCTGTGAGAATCAAGAGAAAAGATCGGCGAACAAGTTACATCAGACCAATTCAGCAGAAACTGCAGCCATTCTATGCCTCGAGCATCTACTTACCAAGACCAGTAAAGCTAAAGTAAACAAAAATAGCTCAAAGAACGAGCAGTATGCTGCCTTAATGGAAATAATTAGCCAAGCAGATATCTACGATTTATAAATCTACACTGATGGCTCAATGGACCCAAAAACAAAAAGAGGGGATGCGGCAATAGTTGTTTATAATAAAGATGGTCTGATACACAAAGAAAAAGCATATGTAGTTAAATGGATACTGAAAGAAGGGCAATGGAAATGGCATTGTAGTGGCTTGCTACCTAAAAGGAGAGGAAGGAAGCAATCATACAAACAAACAGTATGACCATGGTTGACGTGATGAGGAAAATATGTGGATAAAAGACAAAATAGGTGGTCATTAGAAGGTGAACAAGGAGACGTCGGTGGCATGGATAGCCGGTCACTGTGGAGTAGAGGCAAACGAGGAAGTAGATAGAGACGTCTATGAAGGTAGGAAGAAGGAGACGGAAGACTAGAAAACCACACAGAGCCTGATGAATATGATCATAGATGAAAATGTCCCGGCCAAACAAATTCAGCATGACAGATGCAAGGAGGTATATACCGTTCCGATTATTCGTTCGTTCTTTTGCAGCTTAACGGCGTTTCAGCACAAGGCGGCTATTTTTACGCCATTGGATTATGAAAAACTGATGACTAGAGAACTTTAAATTCTGTTGATAAAATCTATCTCCCCCACAAATGAAATCAAGACTTCCTGATTTATAATCTGGAAGTGCAATTCTGCATCATATGACTCAGAAGCTATCAAGAGAGGATAGGTTTTATGGATGAAGACGGATGTCGACTGTGTGGAAGAGAGTCGAAACAGTACCACACTTATGACTGGAGTGCGAAACGCTGAAGATGGAGAGACAGATGGTCCGGGAGAGAGAGATTGGAAGAACTGACGGAAAGGCCAATGGAAGCGATACTTGGAAGGCTAGATGGCCTATGAGCAACTATTTCTACCACAACAACAGCGATAACAAAAAAAATTAATAACATCAAGTTAGGAGAGAGCATAATCACCACAACGACAACAGAAGAGATGAGATGATAGAAGAGTCAAGCAACATGTTATGTAAAGGCAAACACTAGTGAAGACATTGATTAAATGTATGTAAACAAATCTCTCAATGTTTATGCCTTACATACATCGAATGTTTTCATCATACATCCATCTGTCGCTCTACTCCTCGCTTCTACTGCTACTTTTTTTATTGTTAATGTGGTTGTTGTTATTGATTTTTTTTATATCACACAGATAGTCAAATGTACTATTTTTGAAAATATTGATATCTATAATTGTTAATTAAAAGGCTGTAATTATATATAACCAATGTAACAAGTTAAAAGATATTAAACTACATAAATTGACGCGTATTTGTTTTGTTGGTTGGATGATGTTAGTTAACCAGTTGAACCAACTATTACAAAACTGGGATCAAGATAATATCTGTCTTGTTTCTAGAGCCACATGTAAAGTGCCAACATAACAATAATGTTGGAATATAATATTAAGAGAGGTTAAGTAGCGATGATAGATAAGTTGATGTATTTATGCCAGCATTTATGTACATATGCATGCATGTATGTATGTATGCGCGTATATATTTGAGTATGTATGTAAGTATTGATTGATAGGATTGATTGAGAAACACATGGCTGTGCATGTCAGTCAATAGTAAGTTGAATCAACAACTGTTCATCAACATAATTTTCATCCGTCAACATAATTTTCACAATTGAAATGTACTCATTCGCTTGCATATTTACTTAATTATATAGAGTTTATTTACCAAATAATATAGCCATCATATAAAATTGTAATTTTATAAAACAGCTTCTTGATAAGTAAAAGAACGATCAATGACAATAAAACATAAAATTAAATATTATTTATTTATTTTTATCGTTATTATAGTGATATAAACATAATGACGACGATCACCAATTCAAAATTTTAGATGCTAAAATAAAACTGAAACATTTTCTGCCTTATAAGAATAAATTGTGATTAGTCCATTACATTACATGGAAAATATAAGATTTCATACTGGGAGTTAGAGAATGAATGAATAAATAAATAAATAAATAAACGAACGAATGCCTAATTGAATGAATGAGTGGATTGAATGCATGAATGATGCTTAACAGTGATCAAAACCAAGCGCACATGTTTTTCTTGTTCGCTGTGTAGTGTAAATAAAGCAATACGCAACTAATTGATTATAATTGCTTCGATGTATTTAAGCAACGTTACAATATATATGTAATTTGAATATATATATATATATATATATATATATATATATATATATATAATATATGTTTATCTAGAAGAAAAACAAGCATTGGCAAACAAACCCAACATCAACCACAACGACAATGCCAACACAAACAACAACAATAAAAGTAACCAATGTAATAAATAAAAGAACTAAAAAATAAAATTTAATAATACAACTACTACTACTAATAATAATGTAATAAGAACCAGCATATAAATTACGATGATGACACAATGATGAGGATGATAAGAAGAAGAAAAGTACTATTATAACAACGGTAATGATCACAATATTCATGACACAATTACCATCAAAAACAAAGATGATAATGAAGAACATCAAATATAAATTTAATGTAACGTAACATAAGGATGTATAAATATGTGCACAGCAAAGATATCTATTTACAAGCCAGGAACAAACATGCGACAAAACGAACGAACGAATAAACAAACAAACGCAATAGGTAACGCGCACACAAATAATAACAAAAATGTCAATCACAGACTAAATATAAACCTGCAATAAAGCAGCATCTAACTATTTCACTTCTAATTTTGTAACTCTGAATATTCTTCAATGAGTGAAAACTAATTTATCCACTGTCTTCTTTATCATCGAACAGATTTTCAAAAGATTTTGTGATGTTGTGTAAGAATTGAGAAGAAGTTAATGATGATATCTCGATGAAAAAACAAACAAAAAACTTCATTTCAATAATTTCAAAAGTCGTCGAAGAAACAGTCAATTATTTTTTTGCTTTTATCATTTTCCTTTAACTCTTTTCAGTAAGTGTTCCCGAATTTTTAAAATTTTTATTAAAACTTAATTATCTATGTAAAATACTCGGAGAATTAAAGTAGAAGGAGTTCCTTGACATATTGCGGTGATTGTTTTCATCAGTCATGTCACAAACAGCCGCTTCTTTTGTGTTTTAAAAATTTTCTTCGTTTTCTTTCTCTATCTCTTTCCACATACTAACAAATTTATTCATTTCACAAGAAAAAATAACTGGAGAACACGAGATGTTAACTGATGTTGCCAATGGTAATCATTCATTTTATTTTCTACTCTGTAATCTCTCCTCTAACGTCTCTCAGTAAACAGCCGCCATTGTAATAAAAACTAATAGTAAAAGTTCGAATTAGTGAGGGGTCATGCAAAGGAACATCACACAACATCATTATTTCATCGTGATCAGATCTTTTTTCTCAAAACTCAACTGATTAATGTGCACTTCTATTGGATGTTGAATGTAGTGGAGCACAACAGTAGGCTGAAGCAATTTCTAGTGACCACATGCTAATGATTAGCTCCTCATAAATACATGTGTGTGTACAAATACACGAATGCACTTAAATTTTCCTTCTTTTGACTTCATCACATTATAATATTAACTTTTATTTGCTGTGGTACTCAACTCGTATGGTATTGCTGGATATAGCGGCTGAAAAGCATGAATAACATCGAACTACTAGAACGTAACAAACAACTGCATTGAAACGGGAATGGCAAGGTCTGGATGAGAAGAAGTGTAAATTAGAAAATACACCCGCATAAAATATTCTTCACTCAGACTATTAAATTGCTGTTGGTTGTTAGGTTGTAAATCTTAAAGCACAGCTGTTACTAACGTACGTGTTCATCACATGTTTGTTCTTTCATTGCATTCTTATTGGCCATATACTACCCAGTGTCGTTGTCGTCTTCCTCTTCCTCATTGTCAACGTCGCTATCACCATTAACAACATCATGAACTTTCCCATCAGGCACTCCGTTGTTTCCACCCATTTCTGTTTACCAATCCAAACACTCCAACATATAACACTGGGCCAGTGAAATAAATAGCAAACTGTCCGACCCATTCACGACATTACAACATTGGATGTTCACTTTGATCCACACACATGCTCTTGTGAACCGACATCTGAGAAAAAACCACTTTATCAGGTCCAATCTGAACCTTAATCCAACAGAACGAATGACCGGCGTCGAGCAGATTATGTGTGGAGGGCTCGGTATTTTATGTGATAGAGAGCTCCAGCTCATCATCAACATGTACCAGAGGGACGAATGTTTTAATGTCAGTTGGGGTGAGTTGTGTGTCGTATAGACCTTTTTCTTTCATGCCCCACTCCCAATCAAGTTTCTGGGTACAGTGTAGAATGTCTGCTTCCTGGTGATGACGGGATATCAGTTTGGCCTAAAAAAAACAAAGAAATTAAATTTAATGGTTAAGGTTATGTATATTAAAATTTAAAAAAAAATAATAATATATATCAACAGAGGAAAAAATATCAGAGTTAGAAGAAACAAAATAAATCATGTAGATTAACATTGAAACAAATAAGAATAGTTGCAACAAATACCTTAAGCTTGGCGTATTTGTCCACAATTTCCTGCAACCAAGCATTGAAATGTCTGCCATTAAACCTTGACCTTGAATCTTTGGGACCACCGGCCCCTCCAAAACCTTCCCCATTGTCAAGATCATGAGGGGAACAGAAATCTTCAGAACAAAGCACAGCACAAGCACTGAGACACTCCCCTTGGTTGGCTGTTGCTCTCCCAGCACGACTGTATATGCGCAGTGTTTCTTGTTCGGACAATAAAGTAAGTCGTTCCTGATATTAAATGTTCAATTATATATATATATATATATATATATATATATATATATATATATATATATATATATATATATATATATATACAATATTCTATAAATATATATATATATATATATATATATATATATATATATATATATATATATATATACATATATATATATATATATATACATA